CTGCAGCAATGACATTTATACCCAACACTACACTGTTTTTAAATTAAAAATTCTATGCTGGAGCTCTGAAACTCCAGTGAAGGAGGTGCATTTCCATTCTTAAATTACAGGTCTACAGCTACCCCTGCACACATGGCTGGGAGCGCATGACAGCACCCTGAAGGTAGGCGCACATAGATCTCAGCAGGAATGCTCCAGGCTACAGAAAGCAATTTAGATCCAGGACTGCTGCTCAGACGAACACGCTGATGCACAGATGCTAAAAGAACCCCCAGCTGCAGCAGAGAGGCCTCAGTAGACCCTCAAAATTGGTCAAGCTGCATGGTTCCCGATAGGTCTCCAAGAAGATCCTGTCTTCAACCAAAGGGCAGGACCATGTCTTTAATGCATAACTGGGCACATACGTTTAAGCATTCCTGCTGGGCACATGGTTTTGTTAGCATTCCTGCTTTGGTCACTTGTGGAATGAGGTGCTGAAGGGTTACCAGTGTCTATTCTCACCTCTTTGTAGCACGCTGGGGCTGGCCCATGAGCCTTCACCTCACAGAGACTTGACTCAAGGCTAGTACACAGATGGACCTCTGCTTGTCATACAATTCTTGATGTAGCTGTTCAAGTAGAAGCTAAAGGAACAGAGATTCAGTGGCTAAATCATATGCAAGGTGACTTGAAGACTCCTAGCACTAGAAGACTCCCAAAACTATCAGGGCTCAAGAAGAAATTGCATTTTCCAATTATGCCCATCCAGGGGCTTGTGCCTTCTCTCTCTGATGAGTTATCATGCAAATTTTTCCATGCCACAAATGAGTCCTGAAGATGCTGTGAAACAGCTGCCCCTTCCCACCTTATTCTAGCAAGCCTGACTGAATCTAGACCGTGTGATTCTAACATTCTGGAGCTTTGGCCAGCAGGGAACATGCTATCCCAAATGATGTTATTAAATCAACGTGCCATTTCATCTGAATGGTAGGAGTAGTTCTAGCATAAAACAGACAAAAAAGGACTTTCAAAGCAGTAGAAAAGCCATGTACACAGTAAGTTAATCTCCCACAGGTATGCAGGAAAGCGTAACTTCTTCAGGTTCCCCATCAGGCTATCTGTCCACAGATTTTCCAAACACAACAGTTATTCAGAGTGTAAACATCCTTTGGATATGCTGATTCTAAGTTTTGTATCTCGGCCAGTTTCGCAGGAACAGCTCTTCACTGCTAGTTCCTCATATGGTATCCCTTACAGCCTGAGAAGTTTACCGTGAGGTATTTGATGCAGACTACTATCCATCCTTTCTACATTCCTGAACATCTGCTATTGAACTCATCACCTACGTCTAGCAATTAACCTGGTACCCAGCACCACTAATTTACAAACATACCCCACAAAAGCTAAAACATCCATCAATACAGAGATCTAGTTGCTATTTTTCTTCCCCTAAATCATCTACAATAGGGAGATCAGATTGCCAGTGTATGTTCTCTCTCCTTTCTTTTTATGAAAAGAATGCAGAAAACAATCCTCAGGAATAAAAAAATTCCCATGCTCTACCAATGGAGAAGGCTGGAGGTGCACAAGAAGCTGGGAGGGGGCACAGCCAGGACAGCTGACCCCAACTGGCCAAAGGGATATTCCATACCATGTGATGTCATGCTCAGTACATAAACTGGGGGAAAGCTGGCCAGGGGGGCCGCTGCTCAGGGACTGGCTGAGCATCGGTCGGCAGGTGGTGAGCAATTGCATCATGCATCACTTGCTTTGTATATTCTTATTATTATTACTGTTTTTATTTTATTTCAATTATTAAACTGTTTTTATCTCAACCCACGAATTTTCTCAGTTTTACTCTTCAGATTCTCTCCCCCATCCCACTGGGGTGGGGGGAGGGAGTGAGCGAGTGGCTGCGTGGTGCTCAGTTGCCGGCTGAGGTTAAACCACAACAAGCACATCATAATTTAAAATCCTGACTCTAAGTGCAAAGGCAATGACCCAAAGTCCCTGTCCCTGCAAGCTCTTAAGCTCTTAAGCTCTGAAAAGATAAAGTAAAAGGTGGAATTGAGAAGATGGGAAGCATCACTGCAGTTTTCGGAAACCCTTAGAGCATTCTCTCTCCTGGGATTCCCAAGTCCTGTCACCTCTGCTCCATAAGCCTGTGCAGAAGCATCTACCATGCCGAGCAGAAGTATTAAGCATGACTATTGGTATCTGCTAGGGTGCTGTAGCACCTTCATTTTACACATATTGCATCAGGAGTAAGAGGGATATTGGTGACACAGCTAGCTGTTCAGCCATGTCATTTCTTCGGTCCAGGACACAGTAGGTGCTTGGTCAGAAAGAACCACATTTACACACAGTCTAATTAACATTTGATTTGTTTGATACTGGGTCTGCTCTAGTCCTGACCTTCAGATTGCATTTTGGGGATAAAGGCAGAGTCCCAGGTAAAGCCTTCAGATTGGTGACAGCACTGCTGCTGCCAGCAGTCCTGCCAGACAAGACATTTTAAAGAAGAGGTCCCACAGGAGCTACTGGGTGCTTACTGGGAGCTAAGAAGCATTCCTGGGCTACTTCTAAAAGAAGCTGGGACGTATTAAGTCAAGTTTTGGAAGGATGAAGGGAGAGAGGAGTGGCAAAAATATGGATCCTGCCTGTTATGCACACAAGCAGTCATAGCATAGTCAACTCTACCCCAGTGAGGTTCCTGCAGAGAGAACTGCACAGGGAAAAGTCATATAAAGACTGTAAAACAGCAGTGCTTTCCCAGAAGCAGAGGACCTTGTGAATTAGAGTCCCAGGCAGGAATCCTTCAGCAAGTCCCAACCTGCCATTGAGTGAAAAACCTTTCCCTTCCTAGCTCTGCAGACCCAGAAAAGCAGCAGCAGTACTTCAGCATGAGCTGGATTAGGGCCTCCTTGCTGTGTGGTCACAGAAGCACCTGCAGAACATGCCCTACCATGAACCTCCTTGCACCACAAGATCCCTACCTGGATTTATGAGGCTTGGGAGAAAACTTCTTCCTCCACTGAATCTCAAGAAGAAATTAAGTATTAATTATCACCAAGGTCTGCATAAGGGCTTTTTAAATTCATGGGCAGGAATAGGACAGAGATCCTCTGCCATTCCTATCTGGATACTAGAAGGAATTAGAATAGGATTCTTTCCAAGACAGATGAATGATGCCAGTTTCACAAGCAAACTGGACTGACCTGTACCATATGCTGTGGCAAAATCATGAAGCAGTAGACACTTTTATGTTCTTATTTCCAGGTTTCTCTTATCTTTATCTCTGAAAAGAACAAAATTTTACTGAACAAGGAAACAGACATCTACCTAGCCTCGCTGGAAGCAAGCAGCTGGCAACCTTCCAGGAAAGGTGCAGAACTAACTGCTTGTTCCAAAAGTTGTTCTGAGCACACTTCACTGGAGTGAATGACAGTGTCCTCCTATCTGTCGCCAAAAAGTTGTGTCTAGATCAGAAATGCTAAGTGTGGACACGAGGTTCTATGGCATTCCCTCTATCTTAAAGAGGAAACGAGATGTGAAGCAACAGACTCCAGGGTTCTACAGTTCACAAGCGCTTACATTGGCACAATCAAATTTCATCTTCAAGCACCATATGTGGTGCAAATCCTGGCCTGTGAACAACTTTGTTGTACCTTGGATTTACAGGGACCTGAAATCCCAGTCTGAGAGTTACACAGCAGAAGGATGCCCGAGGTTCAGTTCTAGGAGAGTGGAAAGTGAAATGCAAAGCGCAGCTGTGGTATTGCTAAACACAGATCATGTGCAGAAAGCATCACTGCCCCACATCAAGTACAGAGTACTTAGTGCTTGTGGTTTACACCTATCAGTAGGGTAAACAGGGTGAATCCTGTTGGAAGCATCACAAGTCCCAGCTATTGGAAAATCCAGCTAGGGACAGACCAAGCCATTCTCAGCTCCAGGCATCCTAGTTGATGCACAAGATCTCTTGGTGTGCCAGCCTGGCCTGGAACTGCTGGTCAGTAGCTTTACATGAGGTAGTTGCACCACCTGCTGTCTGCTCCGAAGCAAGTTACCAGTGTCTATTAGAACATCATTAAAGATGATCATTATTAACAAAAGTTTTCTTCTTCAGAACCAGTTGGAATAATCTCCCCAGGGAAGTGGTGGATTCCCCAACATAGGACACTTCTAAGATTCAGCTGGACAGGGTGCTGGGCCATCTTGTCTAGACTGTGCTTTTGCCAAGAAAGGTTGGACCAGATAATCCTTGTGGTCCCTTCTGACCTGGTATTCTATGATTCTGTGATTCAGTTTTTTGCAGGACATACTCTTGATTAAAGTAATCAAGAAAGACTTCGTATCTGAAAACTATGAAGCAGGATCAACAGAGGGACAGTCTAGTCAAAATGGTTCAGGTTCTCAAACAGAACATGAGAAGTTCTCTTTAATACCCAGCTCCTCTCAGGAGAAAGATTGCACTGTTATCCCTTTGGGAAGCTCTCTCAAGTTATTTCCACTCCAAAAACTCCAAAAGCTAGCACTGAACAAAACTTTCAAAGAGGTGAAAATTCTGCCATGCAAAAAAACAGCCACCTGCCCAACACCACTTGTGGCTTAGCAGAAAGGAAAAAGACACATCTTAAATTCTGCACCATTCCCCTTTCCTGGACAAGGCTGCAGCACAAACTGATCCAATCCAACGGGGCAGAGAGATAAGATTCCTACAAAAAGCCACAATACTAGAAGTCTTCTTACAATACGGTGTCTTGTTCACCCATGAAGGCAGACAAGTCAGTATGCTCTCTTGGCTGGCACAAATATGACAGGTTGCAGGAAGATCCCCCTAGCCCTAAAGATCAAGGATCCTGTTCACGGGCAAGTATTCTGTGTGCCAGGCCTCAAAAATAGTTCGGCATGCAGTAGCAAGGTCAGTGTGGCTCTAAAAGGAAAGGAGTTCAGTAGACAAATGACCTCTGCTTAATGAAGCATAGGTGCATAATGTGCAGACAAAAGGGAATCAGAAAAACAGTTTATTTAAAAAACAAAAAATCCCCCCCTCAAATACCCACATACTTTCTGATAAGCTTATTGCTCAGGCTAGGTCTTCTGTGATACTGCTCTCTCTCCCCTTGGCCTGTAGGGCCAGAAGTACTCATGCAACTTCAGTCCTTCCTCCAACCAACATCATTTGGCTATGTTCAATTGTTCCCAAATACCAGCATTTAATTTTCTCCTTACTATGCACACAGAACACGGAGGTCACCAGGCTCAAAGGCTCCTTCTCACTGGGACAAGTCTACGGATTTATATATAGTCATCTGCTCCCACCAAGATAGGAGTTCCTACTTAGTAGAACCATAAAGAAAGTATGGGAAGGTGTATCTACCTTCTCTTTTGAAGCCAAAGCCTAAACAACTCTCAAATCATCCCTGAACCACTCAGCCTGCAGTCCACAAATGTCCATGCTCATTCTACAGTTCATGGTCTATACTCTCAATATACAGCCTTCACGATTCCCTAATAAGCTTTCTATAGCATTTCCCAGTCTCACCACACCGTTCTACTTCCACTTAACCAGGGCTCGTCTTCCAGGTTTGCTCTCTGTGAAAGGGGTATTGCCTCTTTCTTGTGTAGCATCTACAGATCCACACTGTAGTAGAACAGCACGACTTTCTCACTAGGCCCTGGCTCTTCCTTGAGTGGTCACAGACAGAGGCTCTTGGACCTTCCTCCTAGATAGCTGTCAGGCAGGTTTGGTAAGAACAGAGCGGGGGCTTTGTGTTTCATGTTCAGTCAGTGTTGTTGTGGGGTTTCAACATCCTCTTCCTCCTTCTCACCATGTTCAGTGTGGCGCAGAAGCAGCTCCAGGTCAGGGTCGGAGCTGGCCTCTTTGTGTAGCTTCAGTGCTTTTTCACCTGCATGCAGACAGCCATTTAGTGACAAACTCGCTAGAGTACCCATCAAACCTGGTGTTGGCAAGGAGCTGGAAATAGACACAGCTCCTAGTGACACTACAAGAATGCCTACAGAGAAATAGAAAGGGATTTAAAACAGAATCACCTTTGGAATTCATGGCTTTGAGAATGACATGAAGGGAGATTCCTGACAGGCAGACAGCAAAGCCCAGCCAGTTCAAAAGACTGAGGCGGTCTCCCAGCAAATGTGTGGCGAGGAATAAAATGCAGATTTCCTGTGGAAACAAAAAACATGACAAGTGGCAGGGCAGGACCTGAGGAGATATGCATGAGACATTTTACAGCCTAAGCCTAGATCAAGATGCCAGGCTGCTAATTTCCATCAGCACATTCTTCCATGTGCAGAGAGTTCTAAAAACAGTTTCTAGAAACAGAACGACCTGTTAAACTGGGATGTGGGATTTTAAGTCCTCTGACTGCATAGCTTGGCTACATGGGAATCCTGTGACTTCTGGATCAGACAAATTTCACATGTCACCATTCAGCTCAAAAGTGTGTGCGCTGGATTCCTCAAAGGAGGGGAGAATGTGCCAAACTAGGTTAAAGAGATAGCTCAAATCAGTGGTTTGTTCATATCCAGGTCTGATGCAAGAGCATGCCCTTCTTACCCCTCCTCCCTCCTGCACCATCCATTGCTCATGAGGCCCACGTGTTTTAGTCTATCCCAGATCCCACCAAACTTTGGACCTTAATAGTATTGTTTATAAAACAGCCACTAGTCTCTGTCCCTTGATGTCAGGGACCAAGGGACTTCACTGCAGAGACTGCAAGGCAAAGCATCAAGCTCCTGTGCAAGGAGAACGAAAATAACAGGAGATGATTTCTAAGGCTCTAAGGAAGTTCTGACCACATGAGGCCCATTAGGGATGACTCAGTACTTGCCTTCTAGTATTAGTACAGGAACCATGCCTTACCTTAAAAATGCCAGCAATGGAAAGGGTGAGGCTAGATGTTCTGGAAACCAAGAGGAACTCAGAAAAGCCTAGACCAAAGGCAAGAATTCCACCCAAGAACAGCTTCCCTACCAGAGAGAACAGCATTCCTGCTTCGTGGAAATGGAAGAGCTTCTCTGATATGGACAAAGGCAGGCCTAGGAACAAGACAGTGAGTAGCAGAGTACCTTTCCCAACTCCCAGGACTCCTTACAACAAGATGGGGGTGGGCTGCTCACAGTCCAATATCAGGATGTGGAGCCAGTTCTTTATAGCCCTTACTTCCACAAGTGTGGCAGGCCACTATTCCTATGCACTCTTTAATGTTCTGCCAGCATAAGGTATATCTGGGTCCTTATAATTCCAGGTTTCTAACTACTTTGTAAAGTTCATCGCTGTTCACTTATCTCAGTGAATCATCTCAAACAAACAACTGCTAAGCAATCTCCCCAACCACTCTATAAAGCTACCCCTGCTTTCTCTAATTCACTCACGCACCCTCAAACACCGCAAAGAGTGGGAAGAGCCCCAGGAACATGAGCGGCTGCAGGTGAAACATGATATCAATGGGGTTCTGGAGCCCTGAAAGAGGAGAATCAATAACAGACCAGGTAGCAACAAGCCAGGGAATAACATAGCTCCTAGAGCCTTTATTAGTACCATTCCTAGACATACACCTTATTTGTAATGCCCACGCCTGTGCTGCTGCAGAGGCCAAGCCACCTTCATTACCCATCAACAGCTAACCCCTGCCCAGGTTTCAAACACTGTCCCTTACACAAGATGCTTTGTTTCTGCAGCAAGGGCTACCACCTCCTTATTCTCCTCCCCGTTACCAGCATCACCACCCACTTCCTAACACCCTACATACCCAGGTCAGCCTTCTGCATAAGTATCTGCGTGAGAGTCCAGCGAATACCCCCAAGGAAAGAGGCACACAGCACCAGCACGAACCCCTGTGCGTTGAACTGTGTGGACTTGTAGGTGAACATGAAGAGCCCCCCAGCGATGAGCAGAACCACCAGCAGCAATGCCACCCTCTAGATGAGAGCAAACACAAAGTCACTACAGACTCCTGAAGCTGAACAAAGAGACACCTCCTCTCTTTCAGATACATCCACATAATTGCATTCTTCCTCTACTTACATGTTTCTTGTACATGTACTGCCTATTTCCCTAGGCCTGACCTTCTCCCTCCCTAAAGCATTGATTGGGACCCTTACCACTTCCTCCAGCTTGAAAAGCAGTGAAAAAAGCAGGATGAAGAGAATGGCAGAGGATTTGGTCATCGTGTAGCTGTAAGGACCAAAACACACTGTCAGTCTCCTCCAACGTAGTCCTTCCCAGCAAAGTACTATTAGGAACCAGATCACCCACTTCTACGTTGCTACCACCAAGCCACCATAGACCCTGCATGCCAACCCCACCAAGCCACCATAGACCCTGCGTGCCAACCCCACAAAGCCATACACCCATTCAAGAAACTGACCCTGACAGAGCACTTTCTAAACCCCACCAGAGGGCTCCCAGGGAAGATGGTGTTTGTACTCACAGGGAGACAGTGACGTATAGGAAGCTCCAGTTACTCAGCCCAATATCCAAGGAAGTTGACAGAGCTAAAGAATCAAAGAAAAAATCCTGAAGTTAACTATCTTCCACTACATTAAAAAAACCCCAAAAAACCCCTGCTACTTGACCATGAACATAGAGAGCAGAGCAGACCCAATAAAAACCCCCACATTTTCCTCAGGTTAACTCTTCAGTTAACTACCAACGTAGTTCAGATATCCTCAGCTCTTTATGTTTCTGTCCTGTTCCCTGTGATTTAAGTTGGGCTCAGCACTGCGCTCACTGAACATACACTATGCAAAAGTGCAGAAATAACCCTTGCCCTCCCTGTGAATGAAAGCCATCACAGATTTGCACAAAGTCCTTTTTGAATGTATCAGAGCATGATAACTGGTAAGTATGAGGGCTACTGCAAGAAGCCTGAAGAAGCAAGTCTGGCAACAATTCTCAGCCTGCACCCTTAATCCTGGAGCAGCTCTTGTTACAGTCTATTCTCCCTTGTATATAAGCTTCCTACCACAGGAAACGGTTTTACTGATGCACTGGCATGCTATGCTGGAAGGCAGTATTGCTACAGATGTGCAGAAAGCATTTTTCAAGAAACCATAGGACATGTTATGTAAGATATTGCAAACCTTGCCAGAGATCTTAGACTAGATGCTGTTCTGTGGGAGACAGTATGATGACAACTGAACCAAGATAACACAGAGCCAAAGAACTGCTGAAGTAGCTAGAGTTCTGTGCTCTGAGTAAGAGCTTCACTCCTTGGTCTCAGCTACAGCAGTTTCGTGTATCATGTGTGATGAACTTCTCTATCATAAAGACCAAGTTCCAACCAGAGAAAACTCCTGAAAGAACATAAACGCATGGCTTGATTCCAACATTAAAGAAGAAAAATAACTTGCAGAGACAATTTATGGAGGTACTATACGAGATTCTCATTGTATGTTCTCACATGCCAGTGGCTCCTTCAGAAAAATACATTCGGTGTGGCCTCTCCATATTCTAACTAGTTTTTGTTATGACCAATAAAGATAGCACGTCTAAACCTAAAGCTTTAAGTAACACCTACTCCTCCCCTGCACCTGGTAAGGAAACGCACGGGACGCCCGCAGTGCTGGGCGCCCGCGGGAGCGATGCTTGCCGCTCCCCCCGCTCCACGCCTACTCCAAGGGAGGCGGCAGACGTCCCGCTTGCTCCGGGCGCCGCGGCCCGCCCAGCCCTGAAGACCACCCCAGGACCCCGGCCCGAGAGCCGCAATCAAACGCGGCTCCGGAAGAGGCCC